TTTTTTTTTTTTTCAGTAAATCTTTTCCTACATTACAGCTGGGCATAGTGTTGCATACCTGTCATCCCAGCACTCAGGAAGCTGAAGCAGGAAGATCACAGTGAATTTGAGGTCAGTCTGTGCTACACAGAGAGACCTTGTCTCAAAATCACAAAGCAACCAACCAACACAAAATGCTTGCATTTAGAGGAACTTAGAGGAATTTCGGGTCACTCTAGTGTCACAGCTAAGAATCCATAGACTAGAATAACAAGTGACATTTGTGACACAGATCTGGTGGTTTTCCTAGAAACTTCACACTCTAGATGCCACTGAGAAAAGACATGGCTGTAAAGCACGTGACAGTTGCTTTGCTGGCTTCTTGCCTTCGCAGGGTGGAAGCTGCTTAAGCCGCAGGCCTTGAACACTTTCTTGCCTTAGCTACACTCACGTTCAAGGTAATCTCATCTAGTCTTATGTTAAATTCATTCTATCATCCAGATCTGGATCTTTGGCCCTGATCTTTGCCCTCTTTCCCAGACATGTGTCACCAACTGTCTATTGTTGCTCCATGGAAGTGCTAGGAAAATCAGATTTATCATCGGAACTTAACCTTTCATCATTCTCTTAATTTTTAAGACTGCTTCTCGAATATTCTCCATCTGTGTAAATGATGCTGTAATTCATCTAGCTGCTTGTAGCACAAAGGCCTGGAATCACCCCGACTTGTCTCTTTCCCTCATCTCTCATACCTAATTCATCCATAAGTCTTATTCTAACTTCAAAATGCATCCAAAATTTACCTTGTTTTCACATCGTCCATGGCTCCATCCTATCCTTGCGTGCACTAATTTAATAGTTTGCTGATTGGTTTCATGTTTTCACTTTTGCTATCCTTCACTCTATTATCCACGATAGAGCCACTCTAGACTGTAAACCAGAGTACTAGAAACAAGCATGGTGGGTGGGTTCTATGACTGTCTCCGATTTCTACTTGGAAGTATTTTCTGGACTGCAAAGTGGAGGGTTCAGTTTCAGCTAAGCAGAGAATGGGGTTTGGGGAGACTGAGGCAGCTAGAATTTCAAGGTGGAATAACGAAAGGACGTGGTAAGTTATATGGAGATAGAAATTTCATCGTAGTTCCCGTGAGTCAGTTGCTAAGTACCAAACTACGCATACATAGGATAAAACAAGAAGCCAAATGAAAAAAGGTAAAGTGTTCATGAACAAAACCCAAACTATACAGGAAATACTTCAAAGAATCAGCAATTGGGACCTTGTCTTATTGAAAGGGTTATACATGTCAAAAGAAATCATGAATAGAGTAAGACAAAACCCCACAAATTAGGAAAAATATTTAGCTGACTGTCCCCCAGACAAAGGACTTCTATCTAGAATATATCATATAAGGAATTGAAAATATCAGGTCCCCCCCCAATTCAAAGACCAAAAATGGGCACCTGAGATTAATAAAGGGCCAGCGAGATAGTTCAGCTGACTAAAGCACCTGCTTTATTTATTTATTTGCGGAACCAGGGATTGAACTCAGGCCCTTGTGCTTGCCAGGGAAGTGCTTATTCCACTGAGTCATCTCCCCAGCCCCTAAAGTGCCTGCTTTAGCAAGCACAGGGACCAGGGTTCAATCCCCGGTTCCACATGCCACACTGGCCCTGCCCCAGGGCACCCTGAGCCAGCTACCAAGACCTGGCATGGTGGCATATGCCTGTAATCCCAGCACTAGAGAGGCTGAAAATAGGAGGATCACTACAAGTCCAAGCTGTATAGTGAGAGCCTGTACCAAATACATAAATGGATATATATGAGTATATATATTTTTTTCACAAGTGAAGAAATACAAATAGCAAATAAATATATGAAAAAAAGTTCGACATCAATGGTCATTTGAGAAATGCAAATTAAAACAATACTAAGAGTCAGTTCGGGAGTGGTCGCCGCCGGTGTGCGGGAAAGTAAGTCTTATGGCTACACCATGACGTCCATAGGGACCCTTGCCTTCGACAAATATGGGCGTCCTTTCCTCATTATCAAGGACCAAGAACGCAAGACTCGTCTTATGGGACTTGAGGCCCTCAAGTCACATATAATGGCAGCCAAGGCTGTAGAAAATACGATGAGAACATCACTTGGACAAAATGGCCTGGATAAGATGATGGTAGACAAGGACGGCGATGTGACTGTGACCAATGATGGGGCCACTATTTTAAGCATGATGGATGTTGACCATCAGATTGCCAAGTTGATGGTTGAGCTGTCCAAGTCCCAGGATGATGAAATTGGAGATGGGACCACAGGCGTGGTTGTCCTGGCTGGTGCCTTACTGGAAGAAGCCGAGCAGTTGCTCGACCGGGGCATTCACCCCATCAGAATCGCCGACGGCTATGAGCAGGCTGCCCGCATTGCCACTGAGCACCTGGACAAGATCAGCGCCAGTGTCTTTGTGGACATAAAGGAAACTGAACCCCTCATTCAGACGGAAAAAACCACACTGGGCTCCAAAGTGTATAACAGCTGCCACCGACAAATGGCCAAGATCGCTGTGAACGCGGTGCTCACTGTGGCCGACATGGCGCGAAGAGATGGGGACTTTGAGCTCATCAAAGTGGAAGGCAAAGTGGGTGGGGGGCTGAAGGACACCAAGCTGATCAAGGGCGTGATCGTGGATAAGGATTTCAGTCACCCGCAGATGCCCAAGAAAGTGGAGAACCCCAAGATCGCCATTCTCACGTGTCCATTCGAACCACCTAAGCCAAAGACAAAGCACAAGCTGGATGTGACCTCAGTGGAGGACTACAAAGCCCTTCAGAAGTACGAGAAGGAGAAGTTTCAAGAGATGATCCAGCAGATTAAAAACACTGGTGCTAACCTCGCTATTTGCCAGTGGGGCTTTGACGATGAAGCAAATCATCTACTTCTTCAGAACAGCCTGCCTG